TATTGTTTTATGTTATTTAATAAAGATTTACAGCACGACTCACCTGGCACACCAGTCAATCAATTCCACTACAAAACTTTTTTCCCCTGGCTTTTCACAATAGAAGCACGCTAAAGTCTCCATGCATCTCCACATCTCCATATTAAAGTCACGTGTTATATCTAACCGTGCACATCACTGAAGAGGTGTTTACTAGATTCAGCAACGGTGAAAACGGGATGTTTTTTTAACGTCAGCCAATATAAGAAGCAGAATCACCAGCTGCCACTGCAACAATAACATTAGCATGCTAACGCATATAGCAGTGCAGCAAGGAAAAGGGTCCCCTGGGAAACAGCGGCCGCAACGAAACGTTCTGCACGTGTTCAGGCTATTTAAAACAGTATGTCGGTTTTCAGAAAATTTATATCATAACAAAAATAAAAAACGGTATTCGGTATGAACCGGTATACCGCACAGCACTATTAGAAAGGACATGATTTTGACGTTTTTACTGATAATATTTTATTTTAAAAATGTTACAGAAGTCATAAGAAGCAGGTTTATTTTGAACAAACATTACAAACGTGTTCATTCCTACAAAATTGTCAAATATATTTATAAACACCACTAAACTGATTCAGATTAACATAAAATAAATCTTGTTTTATAATTAAATGTCTGTTTCCTGCTATAAAGAAAAATCATCCATCCATTCTGTCCTTGTTCATAATTAGGGTCAGATTGGGGCTGGAGTCTGTCCTAGCTGCCTTTGCTTGAAGACGGGGACACCTGGACAGGTCTCTAGTCTCCATCAGGGACACAAAAGAGGCAATCAACCATCCACACTCTGAAACCTTCTGGAGCTCTTCTGTGTGACTCTAGATGTGACAAACTGAGAACTCTGGACTCAGATGCATCTGCTGCTGCACAGAGTTCTAATCACTTAATATCAATAATAATTAAATAAATTATTAATGATAATTATCAGGAGGAGTCCTTAACTTTAGGATGTAGTTAGGCAATTAAGGTGAGTCTTGTAAAATAATTTTTTTATAAAACAAGACACCCCCCACCCCCCCCACCCCCAAAGAACAATTTCCTAGGGGAAACACTGGGGCCAGTCTCAACATATTAAAAACAAAATGCTGAACTACAATCGGGGATCAATGCCCGCCACTCATTCAGATATGTCTTTTCTTCATGAAGAAAAAGAAAGAAAAGAAAACGTGAAATGTAATGGGAAAGAGTGAAAGAGAGATTAGAAGATACGTGAAATATATATCGAGAAAACACAAGACAACACAACCGACATCTTGGCTGCACACCTACAGAAACAGAGATAATAAAATAAAAAAAAACACAGCAACAAAAATGAATGTATATAATCAGGGTTACACATAAAATTTTTTGTCTGGTTCTCAGGGGAGAACCTAGGGTTGTTGCTTGGTGCTCATATTTTCCTTCACTCATTTAA